GTTAAGGCAAGACAAAGACTCTGCCCAACAGTGACAGTGCGTGTCCTGCCACTGAAAGTCAGTTAGGCTCCAGCTCACTCACGACCAGAATGAGGACGAGTGCGATGACGAAGGAAAAAAAGAAAATAAAAAATAGAGGCACGGATGTCTTACCTGTCATAGATGAGTCCGTCAATACCCTGCTCCCTCAGTTTCCTCCTATTCTCGTGCTCGTTGTTGTCATCGCCCCAGCTGAACACCACCAGGCCTTTGTCCTGCGCCTCCCTGATGAGGCTCACGTTCATCATCAGCTCCTCGGTGTGAGCGCTGATGCCCTGGACGACACATTTGTTTAAAAAATTTAAGCCTGATGTCCAAAAACGGGAATAGTGTTCCTGTTTAATATCCAAAGGAGGGTGGGCGGGCTCATACTAGGATGTTCTCGCTCTGAGCAAAGCTCATGGCGATCTCGGTGGTCTGGCAGCGGATGTCCATCAGCTCTGGATACTTTTCAGAGATGCCCTGCGTCAGGAAAAGGATGGGGTACTTGTTCTGCTTGCGGCGCACCCTGAGGGATAAACACAGGAATAAATATGGATATGACTTCATAGGGTTCTATTCTACCAGACATCTAGCGGTTATTTAGTCCAGACTACATTGAATAATACAGTATTGATTACATTATGTGAAAGTTAGTTAACTCAACCCAACCCCATTTAGCTGGGTAAAATTAGCTGTGTTAGCATTTTAGTAAAGTTTGTGTCTTAGTTTGACTGACCACAAAGATGTCACTACTGTTAATGGTGGTATGCGAGCTTACATGGAGCAGATATCGGGGTCGAAGCAAGAGAAGACGATGCGTCGCTTGCCTCCTTCGCGGAGAACGCAGGACAAAATGATGTCTATGAACATGTTCATGTTGAAGTAGGATGACATGTTGCCTTCCCATGACCCGTCCTGTCGGGACAAACGTTGAACACTTCACACATTTCCATAGATTTAGCGGTCGTGTTCTGTTTTAGATGCGTCACCTTCATCTGACTGATCCATTTGAGCTCGATGTTGAAGCCCACATGTTCTGGGAGAGCTTGGAAGAGCTGCGTCGGGGGGAAGAGGAAGGATTTCAATCAATCGAGAAGTCAAAAGAATGATGCTTGTCTTACCTGCGAGAGCGACGGGAAGGGCTGATGCTCGTCAATCTCGTCATCGTCCTCCATCACGTCTGAAACAAAACACCGTTGGGTCAGCTGAGTTCTGTTATTTGACGTCGCATCTGAATCAGCTTTTGGAAAAAAAAAAAAAAAACAAGACCTTTGAGATCGTTTCCCTTCATGGCGGTGACGTGAGCCAGCTGAGTAAACAAGACAAACACACATACTTAACTGGGCACCTTGAGAACTGCGTGGCAATCTCACAAACGTGCAGTGACACTCAAAGTTAACCCTTGTGCATAATAAAACTGTCAAGAAAATACAGTAACGTCATTAGGCTGCCTAAACTAGAAGAATGCTTTAATATCACAGAAAACACAAAAAATGTCAAACATAACTTTTGTTCAAAATAAAATTTAATGACAGTAAACTAAATTTTTGGGCCACAAAAATGGGACACGTATGGGTATAAGACAAGATTTAAAATCCATCAATAAAAACATTTCTTTTTGCCCCGATCTGAGCAAAATGATTTGAGCCATTAAAAAAAAAAAAAAAAAAAAATGTCTGATGAGTTTGTGTGGACTGTGCAACTTACCTTCAGAAGCTGCAGCTGATCAAACGTCAGATCTTTCACAGGCACCTCAATGAGCTCTAGAGTCTGGTCATTTTTCTGGAAAAAGGCACGCGACATCCAAGTCAAGATAAGGGATTGTTTTCCCATTTGACATGCTTCTACCATTCCACGTGACACTGTGCAAAAGTCACTGTGTCAATGTATTGCAATGTGGGGCATGACCAAGGCTGTTTGCACATAGACGTCGCTGACCTCCCCCTTTGTCTACAGCGCTCATGGCGCCCGTCAAGTAAACGCTATGCCGTCAATCTTATGCTGTCATTGTATTTTATGACCCCAATCCAAGCTGTGACCTTTTTCTTGGTGGAGATGCAGCACGTGAGGTCATGGTACACGATGGGCACGGCGTCTTTGGAGAGGTGGACGTCGAACTCCACGTAGGCGGCCCCCTGCGTGTCCAAACAAAGTTGCACGGGTTTTGAACGGTGTACTGTCGAAAAGGTCGCGCTGCCTTTGTTGCCACCCAAAGAGACATACGTGCTTGGCGGCGCTCTTAAAGGAAGCAATGGTGTTCTCTTGCACTCTGTGATGCCTGAAAACATAAATAGTGCATTTGGAGAGACTGGCATGTAACAAGAGAGGGGTAGAGCGCCAAAAGCACCTTTCACACAGCCAGTCAAAAGCTAGAACAAGGCAGCACAGTGAGACCTTCCTTGAATAGCAAAAACCAGCATATTGACTGTACTGTAATTACTTGGCAGCTTGGGTGCTTCCAGCTCCCCGGTGGCCCACGTTCAAGGACCTTCCTTTCTTCCAGTACTTGCTGAAGGTCGCACTCATGTCGCACTGCAGGCCCGGGATGGGCCTGATCACCAGGTAGTCCACTGCAACATAACAGACAGTTGGGCTTCTACTTCGCTGTCATCTCATCCTCCCAATCTTTACAGGTTCCTTGCCTCGCACTTTGCCGATGGTCTGCCTGGAGTTGCGCCCCATGATGGGCAACGTTACCAGACCGTGGTCCCTGCCGCTCTCCAGGAAGGTGGAGGAGAGGAGGCAGGCGGTGCCCACGTGACCAGGGTGAACGTCGCCCTGGACCACGTGCTCGCTCATATCCTCCTGCAAAGTCCCACTATTAGAAAAAAAGGCTTTCAAAGTCATCCTCACCTCGACCCAGGTGTGTCTTCTTGCCTCAAAGAACTCAAAAGTGAGCTCCAGGTTGTCGGGGTCCATGCTGTGGATGCTGTACTCAGTCCACTGTGAAGGTTCCAGGGCGTAGCCGCACTCGGGCTGCGAGTGGCGGGATTTGTAGCATTTTGGGCTGATCATGCTGATCTCCAGGGTGGTGGGCACCTTGGGTGGGGATGACATGTTGCGTGAGTCCTCCCCCTCCTCCTCGCCCTCTTCGTCCTCCTCCTCAACACCCTCCAGTGTCAATTTGATCCTGAACAGTTGGGCAGATGCAAACTATGTTACCAAATGGCACGTTACCTTACTCAGGCCTTTTTTTTTTTTTTTTTTTTTTAAATCAAAGCCAACTCCAGGGCACTATATAAAATGCATTTATGCCAGAGCTGCCTGAAATTAGCAAACAAAAACAAAAAAAGCAGGTAAAAAACGTCCATGTGCTGTTTTTGGGGATTCAAAAAAAATTGAAAGACTGTACACTTGACCTCCTTTTAAGGGAGACAAAATGGTCAACGCCTGCTCAGTGCTCGTGTTTTAGTCAACTCATGTAACCGCTCTGGGCTCAAATCATTCTCCCGAGAGGGACATTGCGTTTTGGCCCACCTGAAACGGGACTTCTTGAATTTCTTCTTGGTGATGGACACCGGAGACATCTTGGAATAGTGCAGACGCAGGCGAATCTCCGTTTGGCACGTGAGCCAGCCGACGTCGACACACGCGACCCCATCTAAAGCGTGGGAGGACACAGCAAATGAGGAAGGACATCGTTCATGCTTAATTTCAGTTCTGTTCTTGCTTCAACAATGCTATTCACAAGAACCAAAGTCTTAGAAAGTTAAACTATGCCCTGGATTAAAAACAAAGTCTGCTGTTGCTCAGAACAAATAAATATGATGCTAATATTGTGAAAAAAATATGAATGGGGAAAAAAAAATGATTTTGTGTTTTTGTTAATCCCCATATGACTTTTTTTTCCACTTTGGATGCAAAAATTATTTTGGTTTGACACTGACAATATAAACAGAGCTTTTTTGTTTGTTTTTTAAATTTAAGCAGCTGACACAGTCCTACTTGAGGAAATAAAGTTAGCTTTTTTTGTTTGTTCATTTGGTCCAATGGACTTACTGTGAATTCCAAATTGCCCACTGTTGACATTCACGTGAGGTGCTGTAATGAAGGAAAACAGCATTAGAGAAAGCAAGAGAAAATAAATGTGTCAAAAAAACAAAACCGCTCAACCCAGAGCAGCTCCTATTAATAGTTACTTTTTTGAACAACAATACACGATAGTGTTGCTTTACTTTGTGAACATTGAATTGCAACCATTAAAGGACATGCTCTGAATGATGCCTTTCCACCGCTAACACCAGATATTTGTTCCCAAGAATGATCGTGTAACAGTAATAAAGGGTGGTGTGACAAAGGTGTTTATGCCGTAGGCTTCTCTAGAACCAACTTGGTTTGGCGAGAGCAAACATTACAGTAATATGCTTGTTACCCTCAGCGACTACTGCAGCGTTTACTTGTGTGCAAAGCTCGTTCCAGAAAGTATCCCAGCTCATCGCGTTCATAAACCAACATGTGCTGAAATGTTCTGCGGGGGTGATTTTTTTTTTTTTAAAGCTCTACCAGGAGTTTACTAACAAGCTTTGCCCAAGCCAAGCACATTGTGCACCTGTTGTAATACCTGTGGGGCTCATGGTGCGGGGATGATGATGGCTCTCCCACACATTGACTATCACCTGAGAAGGATCGCCCGCCCTCTGCAAGTAAAATGTTTGTTTTGTTTTTTTTTCACAGTTTTAATGCACACAGCATGAGTAAAACGTTTCGGTCTGCTCTTCAAGTCATCTCTGGACCAGACAGACCATCAGTGACCTTGGGCGGAGGGGTGGGGGGGTGCATGTCTGAAAGGGGGGGGGGGGTTTGGGGGAGACGCTGAATTTTTTTTCACAGTTTTAATGCACACAGCATGAGTAAAACGTTTCGGTCTGCTCTTCAAGTCATCTCTGGACCAGACAGACCATCAGTGACCTTGGGCGGAGGGGTGGGGGGGTGCATGTCTGAAAGGGGGGGGGGGATTTGTGAGAGAAGATTGAAATGTTAGGCCCCCAAGGAATCGCCAGATTTACACAACGAGGTAGGAGAAAGTATTTTGAGAGCATTTTAATTTTGAAATATCACCATTTCTGGATTAAAAATCGTTTCTAAAATATAATATTAATAAATACACAAACAGATTTTACCAACAACTTAACCCACGTGTGCATATGACGAAATACAGCATTTGCTTATCGTGTCATTTATGGCATTCACGTTTGCACATGCAGCAAAATTTGGAACCACCTTTAGTCGAGTCTGCAACAACAACTAGATTAGATGATTCTTCGTAGGCATTCAAAGGAAGGTGAAAGTTAATGAGAGAGAGAGAGAGAGAGAGAATTATTCAGAGATTCACAGTCAGAAGAGGGGGAAAGAAAGTAGTCTTCCCGGTCCTGCCAGAAGACAATCCATGACATCAGCTAGATCGCACTTGGACATGTCACAAAATAGAAAACAAGTGTGTTTAGTCAGGTTAGCACGAAATCTTTGCTCCAGGCGAGCAACAAGTTGAGGCTGTTTATTCCATTTAAGAAGATGGAATAGTGAAACTGTTGAATTTTTTTTCTCTAGTCACTGAGAGAATTGGAAATACAGTAATGTATTTAAAGGCTTGCGGATCAAGCCTCATTCTATCATCCGCCATAAAAATGTTTTAACAATACAAACACTTGAAAATAATATATAAGTCAACGATCGTAATAAATATTAAATTAAATAGTGTAAAAACTACTCTTTTTGATGAAGTGCGATGGAGGGGCTACTGTGGCCTAAGTGGAGAAGGGGGGTCGCTAATGGCAATTTTTATTTAAAAAAAAAAAGCTATTTAGCCTTTAGATGACGCATTATTGTATTCTGAAAAATTTAATTGTCTACCATGGATGGAATTTCCTTTCTGTGTCTGGGAGGAGTCACTCAAACAAAACACAGCTACAACACATCGTCCATTTCCTGTTCTACGGTTTTACAGTAATTGCACTTTTTACACTTCACAACTGTCGGACACATTTTCTTGAAAATCTGTGTCAATCTCATCCATGTCACACCCGATTACAACTTCACAATTACAAGATATTTGACTTATGGCATCAGAGTATTAATATAAAATGACTCACTTTTGCCTCGAGAAAGAAGCCCTTGAAGTAGCGGTACTTGACCTCTACTCCCCTGGGAATGGCGACCATTGTCATCCACTTATTTCTGGTGAAGCGAGGGGGAACATTGCAGTCAGAATGCAAACAAAAAAGATCTTTTGAGCCTTTGTGGAATTGCAAAACCAAGTTATCACAAACCCCTCATCACTCAGGGCTTTCAAGACCACTGCTTTTTGGTAGCTCCAGATGCCGAGGGATTCACAACTCCCAACCACGGCAATCACCTCGCCTGAGGAGCATTCAGGAGTGGAAATTTTAAACAGGAAATAAAAGGCCAGCAGCATATCAACTATCTCAACACCATAAAACACAACAGTCAACCCTAGCTATTCGCAGTTTTTCAGGAGCATTACCTGCTGCAAACAGCAAATATGTTACATGTCAATATGTTAAAAACCCTAAAAGACTTCAATAGGAGTCTGGCTCTTTGTGCAGTTGACATCAGAGGAGCTAATGTGGGAAGCATTTCATGATGAGGCGTAGGAATGTCTGGTAAGAGCTCAAAGCAAGGTACAGTATGTACCCAACGAAGGATTGAGTTGAAAGAATGACAATGACATGAGGTGACAGATCAGCAAGGGTTGATTATGTTTGTACTTTTGTGTTGTGTCGGCCGGGTTGAACAAACCTGGACAAGTTTCTCCTCTAACACTGAGGGTCACCTGGGAGACGTCCATTATTGACAGATGATCCACTGGCACGTGCCAACGAGAGAGGGGGAGGGGGGGGGGAGATATTATTTCGTGTACATATGTCACTCAAATACCCGCACCAGCAATGCTGTCGATATTACACATTTCTATTAACAGTTGCGAGGTAATTTGAAATGTGTTTGAGCCAAATCCCCGTATGTCCTGGAAATGCTTTGACGCTTTGTACATTTACTCTAGCAGTGAAAGGTCATTTTAAATGAACCGATTTACCGATGACACGAGTATGTCACTTAAATACCCTCATATCATGTAAATAACATCGAAAGCACACATTTCACATGAAGTTACCGTTTTTTTCGGGGTGGGGGGGGGAAATTAAGTACACAAATGTTGTTAAAAAGTTTAGAACCTAAATGGATAAATTACTCATTCTTTTAATACCTTAGGTGGCGCAAAGCTTGTCTCACAGCTTTCCTAGTTGTTAATTACCTTTTTAGGCAGCGATGGGACGGTTCGTGATGGAGCCGGTTTGGTCAGGTTACAAAGGCATCTTTATGAACGGTCACGAACCTCTCCGCCTTCCGCGAGGCATTTTTTTTTTTTTTTTGTCCGACAACGAATGATACCGACGAAATTAACTTGAACTTCTTATCAACGTCAACAAAAACGGCTTCAAGGTGGTGACGTGGGTAAAAACCGCAGAGCTAGTCCAACAAATAGCTTTCTGTCCTCTCCTAGTGGCCGAGACAATGGCGACAATGTAGAGGATTTCATTTCAAATTAAAACACCTACTATGTTGAAATGTAACTTTTCTGTTATGTACTTCCAAAATTTTGACAGTATGATGACATAATAATTATTCAAATAATTTCATCGCGAAATATTGGCTTTTTAATGATTTTGCTCTCGCAAACAAGACACCCTTGCATTTTTCTTTGAAAGCCAGCGTTAGTGTTATTCGTCTCCTTATTTTCCGGTTCCCTTCGCCACACCGTTGTAATAAACAAGCTGAGACCAGCCAAAATTCATAATTTAGTAGTCATGCTCATGTGTTTAACGGTGAAACTCTCGCGTTTTCTGTCTTTTTTTTCTTCTTTTTTTTTTTTAACAAGGGTCAAACACGTCTCAATGACTGATGCGTTTATTGTCGCCCGCGGATGTCGTAAACCACATTTTGTTTCATTTCCCAATCAAAACACTGAATACACTTTGGACTGAGTCGACGTAATAATGCCTCGCTGGCTTTAACTTTGCCAAAAACAATCGTTGTAATCGTTATCAAGACTAAGCGTGCACCTGAGCATTTTATGAAACACCATCAATGCAATAACCGAAGGGTCAGGAAGAATTTTTGTGTATGTGTCCATTGGGGAAATGAAAGTAGTAGTGTCTTACTTTTGACAGCAAAAAACCCAGCCAAACGTTTCCCGTGGTTGCAGATCAGACCTGCAAAACGGTCAGCAAGAGTTTTGGACCATTCCTCTTCAAAAACGGTTTCAGTTCAGCAATGTTCTTCGGATGTCTGGTGTGAATCGCTCTGTTGAAGTCATGCCACAGCATCTCCATCGAGATGAGGTCAAGAGTCTGACTGAGGAACTCCAGAAGGATATTTTCTTCCGTTGAAGCCATGCTGTTGTTGATTTACTTCTGTGCTTTGGGTCATTGTCCTGTTGCATCACCTATCTTCAGTTATATTTATCTTATGAATTTAATTTTCGTTTCTCTATTCTCCCTCCCTATCTTCTTCTTATCAACTTTGTTCTTTTCTCTTTTTTTTCCTTTTTTTTACTACAAACAGTAATTTTTGTTTCTCTCATTAGCGTCATGATTTGTACTTTATGATTTGTCAGCCTCGTGCCATTTTTCTGGAAATAAATATTTTTGTGCATCTTCATCTGAGTCTACATTTGTAGAGTCCAGTTCTGTCCAGCAGCTTCTGGACTCCTAACAAGATGGGGTTAAATACATTAAAAAAAAAATGAATCGATGTTGTTTATTTGAAGTCAGACAGAGATTGTGTTCATATTTGACCTTTCAAAGGAGATTTTGTCAATGGGAGCATAAAATGGCTATGATTGAACATTTTGGTGTGACTTAAATCATCAACAGAAATCACAATCTTATCTATTTCTTTGCTGTTTGAATTAGGTAAGCTTTGAGGTTTTCCCCGTAGACACACAAACTTGCTCGAGATAAAACAAATAGGCGTCCCGTTCCTGTTTACTTTAGTGTGCGCATTGAACGAGCTAGTCTGCTTCAGTCATGCGCACCGAAGCGTAATGTCATTCATCTTATGATAATAATCTTTGTGCACTCGCATTTTCAGATGTTAATGCCGTGAGTTGTAGAAGGAGACTTTCCAGCTGCATAATCGTGCAGCATAAAAAAGAAAAAAGTGAGCTGAAGGACGCTCATCAATATGCCATTACACGGGTGTATACAGAAGCGAGTCAGGTGAATGTCAAGTTACATATATGTAAGAGAAATATGTGGCATGTTGATGCCTGACTGTGTTTGTACGCGGCGTGGTGTGGTGAATCTCAAAAGGATGCCAATTTGTCTTTTTTCTGTCACTCGCATTCTCCATCTCAGTTCTCACATTGAGTCTCATTTTCGTTAATGTTGGGAAGACAAACTTGCCGTTGGAAAGCTTTCAGGAGGACCTCATAGATCTCACTGATGGCTCGATAGCCGTGTGATGAAATGTAGATTTGGAAAGAAAAGGTTTGTCGGGTTTTTATGGTTTTAAGTCATTGTTACGATTTTGAGCATAGTGGAGGATCAAGAAGGTTCAACCTGGGTCGCTCGTGAATGTGTGTGCAACTGATTACTATCCAGGAATCTGTCCACATTATTTATTTCACACAGACTGTTCTCTCTCATGGAATCTTTATCAGGCAATATAATCAAAACTGAATGAATGCAGCGATAAAAACATTATTGCTGGCCGCATATTCTCTTGTCAGAAAAATAGACAGATGGGAAACAATTTATGCAAAAGTAGCACCAATAGCACAAAAGGACAAAAAAAAACAACAACAAAACAAAGATCCCCCAACATATACAAATGTCAAAGGTAAAAAAGTGGGACTTGTATCCATCATTATTGAACCTCAAGGATAGTTAGGAGGAGTCGAACCATTGTAGATACCAGCATAGAACGTAGCACGGTAACCATTTTTCTGCGAGTGATAAGGCGTAAAATTAAAGATATGTTCCAAAAAAACACTTGAGTGTACAAAAGCAGAACATTTGAGTGAACCATAGCTTTGGTTTAGCTTTTCCTAGACCAAAAAGGAGCAGGCATGGCTAAACTGTAGAGGTCAAGTCAAGTTACAGAAGCAGAACCTTTGAGGGGACTGCCACTCCCAATGACAAGTCACGGTATATCGACCTGTAATGTACATTATAGGCAAACCCGAAGATAAGAGTCCAAAAAGTAACGGATGCGGCCTGCCTTCTAGGGCATGCCTTTGTCTGACTTGCAGAGAGGCTTTTGCCCTCCCCCCGGGCAGAACGGAATTTTGTGAACCCAAGGCAGTGACGACAGACACCTTGTGATGCCAAAGGGGAGGTTGTAAATGTCGTCGGTTTCCAAGGTACCAGAGGCCTCCGGGTGGGTTTCGTCTGTGACGAAGAGTCCACGCTCGCTTTTGGTACCTGTATCACAGAAGAACTCTTTTGAAGACGCGCGAGTTGATAGCTGAAGCTAATTTAGCCTTAAACCTACCAGGGATGGTGTTGTCCAGGAAGAACCCCAGGAAGCCTCCGACAAACATCGGAGTGGTAAAAAGGATCTGCAACACTGCATCCACTTCACTTTGGCCTATGGAAAAATGCATCCAGACGTTGTCATAGGCTAACTAGGGCCAGTGCTTGATGTGCGCTAGGACTACTAATGAGTCCTTGGAAAACTGTCTCCCCACAAAACCCAACGCATTTGAAAACTCATGCCTTACGGTGTCGTTTCATGTCAGTAAAAAGATGCGATTCATACCCGTGACCAAGACATTTGGATTCTTGGTGATCCAGTTGGGAATGACGAGCCCAGAAAACAAGGAGAAACCGAACACAAAGATGTTCCTGGAGGAATTCATATCTGTTGACTAAAAAAAAAAAAGTAAGGTCATGACTACTGAATAAAAAAGAAATCGTCACTCCGGGTCACCTGTAGGTTAGAGATTCCCGTCGCAGCGATGACCCCAAACATGATCAGGAACATCCCTCCAATCACGGGGTTGGGGATGGTGGAGAAAATGGCTCCGATTTTACCCACGACCCCCATTACGATCATCACGACTCCGCTGAGCAGAATTACCATTCGACTTCCCACCTGCGCCACAGACACATCATCAGAAATCAGATATTTGTTCATTCATGTATTTCAGGGCACTGTAAAGCAGATACTTTGGCGCTAGCCTGAAAACGTAAAATGATGTCGCGCTCTCTTTCAAACCTTGGTGATGCCCAGGGCAGCCACGTTCTCGCTGAACGAGGTGGTGCCATTCCCGGTGCCAAAGGCCCCCGCCAACAAGCTGCCAATTCCTTCCACGCCGATTCCCCGGTTGATGGCGTGCTTGGGCGGAGGCGGCGCCCCTGAGAGCTTGGCGCACGCATGATAGTCGCCCACCGACTCTGCCATGGAGCACACGATTCCCGCCATCATGCCAATAATGCCCGCCAGGTTCACTGCCGGGGTGCCCCACTGGCCTGTGGAAAAAGGCGGTTCTGGATTAGGGGTTCTCCAACTGGGGTCAGAGGTCTGTGAGCCATAGCTCGGCTGTCCCTTGGACCTAAAAGTTCGAGATGAACCAAATCAATGTGTGGATCGGAATGCTTACCCGGATAAGGCAGGACAAACCAGGAAGCCTGAGTAACCACGTCCCCCTTCACATCAGTCCGGGCCTGGTGTCCGTATTGGTTCGGATCAGACGGCAGCACGTCGTAGATGGTGAGCAGGTGGCACACTAACCAGGAGACCGCAATGCCCAGCAGAATCTAATCAACAACAATTTTTTAGCATCGTACGCTAACTGTAGCGGAGTATTTTGAGGACCTACGGGCATCATCTGGAAAATGTAGAACTTTTTGGTGTGCAGCTTCTTGGCCTTGCTGTATGCGGGAATGGGCAGCTCGATGAGTCGCAAGTACTGGGAGAACAGGATGATCAAGACCGCGGTCCTGTGCATTTTAGAAAAAAACGTTACTACTGCTTTACTGCGGGCGTTTGCAAACCTTTTGGGTCCGGGGACTCCTCAACACACAGACAGACATTCCACTTCAAGTGTAGCAGACGCACATGGCTGAGATTCCCCAGTGGCTGCCAGCCCTGACTCCAGCCGCGTCGAACATGGACAGACCAATGAGCGAGATGGTGGGCGCGATGGTGAGAGGGCCGACAAAGCGCATCAGGAAGCCGACGAGGCCAGAGAACCCTACTACGATCTGCAGGAGGGAGGCCACCATGATGGAGCCTTGCAGCTGGGATGGGAGGATGGAACCTGAGAAATTATTCCATCAAATTTGACCATGTTTGAGCCGGCTTACTGTTGTCAGTCGGGTCCGCCACACTTCGATGAAAACAGGCGAGGACACGTTCACCAGGGTGGCATTTTTGGTCCAAGAGGGACACTGGAATTCGGGTATGGACAACATGGCCAATGCTGGGGTGAGTAAAGCGAACGTGCCCCCCTGCAGGATGGGAAGCCTAACAAGAACAGGAACCAATGGTGATACTTTTTGGTTACCAAAAAAAAAAAATTATATATATCACAATCACAATCTTGAAAGCATGCATTATCCAATATTTTCATTCTTAAAATAATGAATTAGCTTGAGCTTACATCACTGGGAAAATAACCACACTTCATTTTCCCAATGGTCCAAATGTTACACCCCTTGTGTTTAGCATGTTCGCACCTAATGCCAAAGGTGACCTGCAGAATGGTGCACAGCCCCGAAACAAAGAAGATTGTGTTGATCAGGTGACTCTGGGTCAAGCCGTCGTGCTGCAAACACAGGCTATCCGCCAAGATAAGCGGGATGGCGATGTTGCTGCCAAACGCTGTCAGGTAATGCTGTGGAGCAGAGAAGAAGCGCAGTAAATTGGACGGGGACATTGCAAAACTGCACTTTTTTTTTTTTTTTTTTTGGCGACACGTTTATAAATCACCTGAAAGGCCAGGAAGACTAACAAGTACCAGGGCGGGGTCTGGGTCACACTGTACACTGTCACACTGTTGTTACGGTCCACTTCACCACTGTTTTCACCGATGAAAGGCTTGAGGGGCTCTGCCGCCCTGGGCTGCACTTTGTCCTCATCCATCTAAATATATATGCAAACACACGAAAAGAGCACTCAGAAAAACAAACCATAAATCTCCTCCAAAGCTCAAACAGGTAGCACTTACAAGGTCCTTAAGCTTGACATTAAATGATTAATTTGATGAGCAGTTCAAAAGAAGTTTGTTAAGTTACTAAAAAGATGTTTGTTATTACAATGTGTTTGGGAGGTATATGAGCTAATTCGGCCTAGGATAATATTTGGAAATGTCTTGCCAATTGTTTGTGAAAGCTAATGCTTACCTCATATAGATTCACTGTTTGTTTTCTAGCTAAAATATACCGTCGTTTTCCTGGTAGGTTTTACCGAGTTACTATTACATGAGCAGTAAATTTGAGTCTTTATTTTGCCCTTTTTGTCAACGCATGTGTTTAACAGACATACCAAATGGATGGACACTACATATTTGCTTTATTGGCCCCTGAGCCTTAAGTTTGACACCACTGTTTGAGCTGTATATCGATTTTGGCCAACCACAAACCTGAATAATGTCATGTCTGGAAAATTTCAACAATTGCTTTTTCTTAAAGTATTTGAATATATTTTATGATAATAACAAAAGCGCGCCTCTCTGTGGATCAATACTCACAAACCATTGATGGTCTCAAAACGACCCTTTGCATCATAACACTTACAGGCTGCTGGCCCGTTAATGATTTTGATGTTTAATTTTTCATGTTGGGAGATTAGAGAGGCAATTGTTGTGAAAATATTTTTTATTGCGGTAGGAAAAATACCCCAATGACTGCTCACACAAAAACTTGTAATTTTCTTTGTTGTTTCAGCATGTGCCCGATGTGCCAATGAAATCTCAGGTGGGACAAAATATGGCCAAAAAGTTTTTATGGTCTCCCCAGGTGCTTCCAGTATACATACACAAAACTACCATATAGCTCTTACTTATAAATGTCACAACTAACAACTTAACTGGCTAAATAGCTAAAGCTCTAACCATCTCACCAAAAGCTAGAAAACAAATCGACAAACTTGATAATTAATTTACATTGCTAACTATTTAAGCAATAAACTAATTATACAATATATAAGCTGTATAACTAGTTAGCCTGCCTACAGCCAAATTCCCCAATTAGCTAGCTAAGCATATTAACAAAACTAACAAAAAGGTAAGTCAACAAACTATCTAGCTGTTCATGAGCGAGCAACCCTACAAAGCCCCATGGAAATGTTATCTCCTTTTTTTCCGTTTAATCATGCTAACCAACTAGTTAACGAACGACAAGCTAACAAAGTCACTTCGAATGCACTTAAACTACTATTTGCTACTCATTAACTAAAAGCTAACTATCAATGTAATAATTAACTAGCTGAATAAAGAAATAAGATTTGTCTTTCAAAACTTATTGTCAGAACAATAAAACTAAAAATTCAGCCACCTCCTTGGTCCCTATCTGGTTACATAATTGTTCTAAATAACAAGGTTAGCCATTGAAATAAAGGTCAACACATTTGTTGAGCATCAGCATCAAGAGTAGGCCAGGATTTGTTTGACACCTGTCACCTGAGGCCAGACACGATCGTAAATAACCGGATTGTATCTTGCTGACCTTTCACCCTCGTGAACAACATTTAAATGTCAGTTGCACATTGAACAAAAAGTTTACAAAATGGAGGAAAGAATAAAGGGCCACCAGCAGTCAATTAGCTTTTAATTGACACGAACGTGCGCACATAAAGGTGCCGTGATGTTATTTGATTTTATTCTTCTTGGTGCAGCAAGAAGACAAAATGAGATCCACCAAATGCTTATTAATTATTAATGCAAAAAGATTTTGACTCAATGGTACTTATGCTCCAATATTTTTTACCTCCCCAAAGAGCTCACGCAGATAGAGTACTGAACTTTTTTCCCTTTCTACCTCACTTATTGCTCATAAATATGAAAATTGGTCGACGAACTCCTTGTTCCTGCGGTGCAAATGCCTTCATGCAGACTTGCACACAAGCACACACACACGCACGCACGTCTTTCGTTAACTTCAGTTACACGCGCTTGAGTAATTGAGGAATTCACATAAAATCGTCCAATAGAAACTACATTTCCATTCAGTAGCTTTTTTTTTTAATCCTTGAATATAATTCTCCTGGGGAAAAAAAACAACTTTTCAACAGAACAATCAAAATTGATCCACTTTACAGACACCTTTCCTGTATTCTTCTCCAAGAAACAATTCTCAAAACTTCTTACTTACAGGTTCGGTTCTGGCCACGCGCGGCACACTCTTGTGGAAGCGAATTTGAGCAGTGTACACCAGACATACAACTCATATCGCATTTGAATCTGAATGCGACTTTACCAACCCAAATAAACTCCTGGCAGTGTGGAGAGCCTTCATCCCCTTGTGTAAGTGTTCCTGCGGCAGCAGCGGATGCAGAGGAAGGAGAAAAGGAAAATTGAGACACTTGAGCATTGCGGCTCATCGTGGTGGTGGATGTGTTTGTGGCTGGCAACTCTACAACTGTAGTTGCATTGCTGGTTTAATGAAATGATGTTTGTCAAGCGCACCATCGTTTGTCATTGCTGGCAGCTAATGATTGAAAGGACTGAATCCCTTCAAATGTTTGTTTTTCCAGGTCCAAGTTTCAGTCATCGCATTGGCATCACGTGGCTAGTGTAGGAAACAAAGAGCATGGGAATACTGTTAAAGACAGTTGAACCCTTGTTGTTGGAGACAAAAACCTGCTCAGAATAATATTGGCTTGCCCAAAAATGTTTAGAATGGCCGGCGTGGAAAACATACTTAGCTCTCAAAATTCTACGATTGCAATACAGTAACCCACTAGAGCATGTGAACGTTTTATGGGATTAGTCTGAGGCCCAAAAAAGGGCCTACTGACTTTTCAACACGAAGTTAAGTTGACTGAGATTGCTTGATTATGAACAGCCATATTCCGAGTAATAAAAGGGTGTGCGCACTTGTGCAACCACATTATCTTCTTGAGTTGTGCAGGTTATACATCACATCAATGGTGGAAAAAGATTAGAAACGATTTGTCTTCGTCGCAACGTTTTTATATATTATATACCTGCTTTTGGGCTGTTTGTCATGCTCACGGCACAAAATACAAGCATAAACAACAATAACAATAAAAAAATAAAATTTAAAAAAAACACCCTGCAGCAGCCAGGCTGTGGTAAATAACTATTACAGTGCCCGTCGTGTTTTATCTGTTGCCCGTGTACTTTATTACATTGAAGAAGAAAATGTGATTTAGCGTAATGCTTCTTGCTGCACTTTTTTTCCCCTCCTTTTCTTTAATATAAAAAAGGCCAGGGAGCATCATCACAGGGCGTCACATGTGAGCGCACACTGTTGATGAGAATGTGGCAGGCATGGATGATTGAATGCCGCTGGCTGCAGCCCCCCCCCCCTTCTTTATCCTCCTCCTCTTCATTCTGCTGAAGGCCGTCTCACGACTCACATGCACGATTCTTCTAACAAACATGGACATCAGCTGACCCCGACGGCTGCGATTTTAGCCCCCGTGGGATGTAGCATTGCTGTCTTTGGTGTCGGGACAAGACACCAAAGACAAAAAATGGATGTAGCATTGCTGTCTTTGGTGTCGGGACAAGACGAAATGTGAGTGTGGTCTACACGTAAGAGGTCGCTTTATGTAAAATGTGTTATGAGAGCGTTTCTATATATGTTTAAAGAGTCAACAACAAGGCAATCTAAAATAAGCGTGCAAAGGCAATGCCCATGTCCACATGCTGGATGTCACATCAGACTTTTTTCTCCCCTTGTTCTTCTTCTATAGTATCTGTTACGTGTATGCACTCACGGTCGACAACAAGGCACTCTAAAGCAGACACGCTCGCCTGAAGCCCCGCTCCGCATGCCAGACTGTTCCAGGCACCGGCATACTATCACGTCTTCTCTCCGTGACGTGCATGTACTCAATGCCGACAACGAGGCGCTCTAAGGCCGCCACACCAGCGGACGCACTCGTCAGGCTGGCCTTTGTCACACCTTGTGTCATTCATTTATAAAGTCAAACGCAGTGTCACAAAAGCTGAATAAAATTATAATAAAATACATGACTAAAACACATAAAAACTAGTCACCCTTGGATGATGTCCACTGGAGTGCTTGTCATCTCACCAGTGTGCATAATAGGGGGCTTGACCTCGCAGAACACATTTTTTTTCCACCTATAAAATGGACAGAATAAATAATAAAATTTACTTTTGCTTATTTATGATGATAGAGTGTACTTGTTCAATTAACTGAAACTGCATCGTTCTCCTGCAAGGTCAACTCACATGTGGTAGTCTCTTGTTGTGCTGCAGAACACAGAGTCGAGTATTTCTTTTGTGCTTTCATATTACCGCTATTGAGCCCACATGTCATGAAGTGTTTTGCTTACTTAAGAGGAAACAAAACCAAATATAATCCAAACAAAAACAGTTTTCTTTTCTCTCGGTCTCTGATTGCGTTATTACAGGCTAAAAGTGTCCTTAAAGATGCATAAAAACACATTAAAGTGAAGAACTACACAGTAAACTTAACAATGCATGCAATTATTTCAGTTTGAACGGTATCGCTTCTCGGAACGGAACTAAAAACGAAGGTCTGATAATGAAGTTTGCTGGGTGTGTGATTGCCAATAGTTGCCATGCCTTTGGGCGCCTCGCGGCATTAAGCCCCCACCCGCCGACAACTACCCTGCTCCTCTCAATAATGTTTAAACCATCACCTGTGTGATGGCTTATTTCGTCCACAGGAGAAGAAGAAAAACAAAAACAAAAAAAAGAAAGAAAACGAGTTGTTGCTGCTTCTCCCTGCAGGTCTAATGAGTCATGACATGAGCATCCCCTCCCACGCTCCTTCCCTCTCTCCCCTTCCTCCCCCACTCTGAGCGCCTTTATATTAGAGGTGCTGCTCTCCTTCCCGCAGAAGCATCCCTCCCGCCTTATCGGGAGGCACGCCGGATCTCACAAGATGACTCGGACTCCTCTCTTTCTGCTACTTGGGTTCGCTTTTCAGATAGGTGAGTTCAGCACCAAGGACAGTGACTCTGAGCACTTTTTTTTTACTGCACCTCTATTTTGTTGTTTTGTTTTTGTAAAGTCAGGCATATTTGTCTCTCGAGCAGGGAATCAAGCGCTTCCAGTGGGGAAGGATGGCCAAAGAGAAGATGTGGTAAGTCACTGTATTATGTTGCATTAACATGGATGTACCGTATACGACACGGTATATAGGGCATATAGTATGCAGTACTGTATCCTGCGTGCAATCACCAATGAACGCATGAGAATGCAACCACACACGCATACAATCATTACTGTGCAGGAAGGAACTCACACTGGGTGCAATTATCCATATATGAAGGGTTACTTATTTTACTCCATATACTACAGTCATGAATGTAAAATACTAAATATTGTGAAAGTGTGCCGTGCAGAAAGTTGAAGGGAAAAAACCTCAAATAAACAAAACTACTCACCCTTAGATGACAGTGAAGTACAACGCAGGGGCAGATTACTGTGTGTGGCCAGGAGGAGAGTCTCTTTGTCCAACAATTTTTTTCTAGAAAACCATATCATTGTAATGTCGGTTAAAAATGACAGAAAAAAGCACAAATTCTTCCATAAGGTTTTGTGGAATCTTGATAGCAAATGGATCCAAAAAAACTCCCTTGGCAGAGTGCTTAGCATACTGCATAAAATCAACACAAGGCTTATTTCTTAATCAGGTGACAAGATGTTTAGTGGAGGTTCTGTCCAAAGCACTCACCCACCCAGACGCCCAATTGGACCAAGAGTGCAAGGAGATCTTCCAAGCAGGTCTGTGCCATGTTCCAGTTAGTTCAGCAAAAAGAATGGCAAACAGTACATGATCCATTTTGTCCCTTTGCAGGAATTAAACATGCTCCGCTGGACAAGAAGAGCAAAGGGGCGACCAATGAAGAGCAGGCCAAAGATCACGCACAAGACATCCGTGAACTCCAGAGCTCAGTAGAGTCGAACCGGGAAAGCGCAAAGAGTGAACGCAATCAGGAATCCTGGAGTCTGGAGAAAAGATACCAGGGAGACGATAGCGCGGAGGAAGAGGAGAAACGGGAGAAGAGAAGCAGCTGGAGGCCAGGAAGGTTCCACCAGAAAAAGCCCAAACGCGACAAGGAACCTGTGGGAGGAGAGTCCAAAGAGGAGGAGCGCGATGAAGAACGCAGTCAGGAGTCCTGGGATTTGGATCGAAGGAGCGACGATGACCAAGAGGAGCAAGACAAGCTCATTTGGAAGCCCTCAGATCAATACCACCCCAAAAAGAAGTTCCACAAGCGTGGAGATGAGGACTACGAACGCAGCCAGGAGTCGTGGGGGCTTGATGACGAGAAGGACAAGAGGGAATGGAGGCCTGGGAGTTACCACCACAGGGGACACAAGAGAGATGAAGAATTATCAGAGGAACCAGATGAGGAACGCAGTCAGGAATCCTGGGATTTTGACACTAAAAGGGATAAGAAGGACTGGAGGCCTGGGAGATATCACCAAAGGAGACACAAACGTGATGAGGAACTGTCAGAGGAACCAGATGAGGAACGCAGCCAGGAGTCATGGGGGCTCGATGACGTGAGGGACAAGAGGGAATGGAGGGTTGGGCGATACCACCAGAGGAGACACAAGAGGGATGAGGAGATCTCAGAGGATCTGGATGGGGAACGAAGCCAAGAATCTTGGGATTTTGCCACCGATGTATACAAGAGAGACTGGAGGCCCGGGAGATATCACCAGAGGAGACACAAGCGCGACGAAGAACTCTCAGAGGTACCAGATGAGGAACCCAGTCAGGAATCCTGGGATTTTGACAGTGGGAGGGCTAAGAAGGACTGGAGACCTGGGAGATACCACCAAAGGAGACACAAGCGTGATGAGGAACTGTCAGAGGAACCCAGAGAGGAACCAGATGATGAGCGCAGCCAGGAGTCTTGGGATTTGGAGAATGACAGATACAAGCGGGACTGGAGGCCTGGGAGATACCACCAGAGGAGACACAAGCGAGACAAAGAGCTCTCAGAGGATCCGGATGAGGAACGTAGCCAGGAATACTGGGATTTCGACAGTGACAGATACAAGAGGGACTGGAGACCCGGGAGATACCACCAGAGGAGACACAAGCGAGATGAGGAACTGTCAGAGGATCCGGAGGAGGAACGCAGCCAGGAATCTTGGGATTTTGACACCGACAGATACAAGAGAGACTGGAGACCAGGTCGATACCATCAGAGGAGACACAAGCGAGATGAGGAACTGTCAGAGAATCCGGATGAGGAACGTAGCCAGGAATATTGGGATTTTGACACCGACAGATTCAAGAGGGACTGGAGACCCGGGAGATACCACCAGAGGAGACACAAGCGAGATGAGGAACTCCCACAGGAAGCACGAGAGGAACCTGATGAGGAACGTAGCCAGGAATCCTGGGACTTCAACGGGGAGAAGAAGTTCTGGAGGCCTTGGAGATACTACAAGAAGCAGCCAAAGCGTGATGAAGAACCCTCAAAGGAAAAGTGGGAGAACCCAGATGGAGAACGCAGTCAGGAGTACTGGAGCTTCGACAAGAGACATAACGAAGATGATGACAAAAACTCTGAAAAGCACATTTGGAAGCCGTCGCATCAGTACAACCACAAAAACAAATATCACAAGCATGGAGGGGAAGAGGTGTCTGAAGATGAAGATCTGAGTGACGATTCAGAAAATCCAGAGGATAGGAGCGAAACCCTGGGGTATTTAATTCTTCTGACAGATTACAGGCCAAGTCCTCAGAAAGTGTAGAGATGACTTCCTGGTTTTACTCGGGGTTAAATTGAGTGGTTGTTTTTGCAGATATCTGGCTGAGAAAAGAAACCCGTGGGTCTACAGAGGCTACTACCATCCCGCCTGGTTCAAAAGGAATCGAGAAGAGCATGCTGCCCCGAACCAGGTAGATCAGATGTTCACGATCAAGCATCAGAGCAGTTCAATTCCAAATGTCGAGCATCTAGACTTTTGAACGCGATTCTGACTTTTGAATGAATGCAGATGGATGAGGCGGCCAAGCTGCTGAGTCACAAAATCGACCAGCTCGCCGACCAAGAGGCATCACAAGGCGCCACGCATCCGAGGGCACTCACGCCGCACGAGGTTCGTCAGGCTACATTTTTCTAAAAATCATGTCTTCCCTCAATCAGACAACTGGATAACATCTGACGTGATCTGTTAAAGGTTCTTCGCAGCCTTGTCCCAGCATCGCAGAACACCCTGTCATGATATAAAACAGCGAGAGGGCAAATTATTTTAGAACATGTATGTTAGTTAGGCTGACTTCAGCCCTCAATTCCGTGTCTGTGTCGTTCCCGTGTCGTCTTTTTGAATCATCTGTGGTCAGACTGACAATAAAAGCCTTTGAGGAGGTTTGCCCAGGGTGTTCAAGCACCATTCTATGGTAGAAAATCAGCAGAAGATAACGTGATGTTCTGTGGGTAAACTATTTTCCATCTCGTGCTCGCTGACCCACTAAAGCCGCGGAGCACATCCAGTCGCTCCTTCACAAACACGCTTTAGGTCGGGGGGAGAAAGGGCAACTCATTATGGAAATGTACATTCCACACACAGACATGCCGGGCACTTGCCGAATGAGTGCACATCAACAACTTGGCCTAGAAGTACTGACAATGCTAATATTTCCCCAGCAGAACTTTGGCACGGCTCCGCTGCTTGCATCTTTTATTTATTTTTCCCCCAACAATTTTTTTTTTTCCTTCAATGGTTGACAGCAGTTTTTTACGAGCCAAGCTTGATGCACCGTCACGACCTCCCAGGGCCATCACGTCTCCATTAGAAAGACACGCGGTGGCTCCTGTGCATCCTGTGGGGCTAAACGATTAAAACCAGAGGAAATGGCTTGTGCGACCATATGGCCAACTGTACATCTTTTTTTTTTTTTTTTCGCAGGAGAAAGCACTGGAAAACCTGGCGGCAATGGATGAGGAGATGAAAAAAATTGCTGCCAAGTTGCATGATAAGGAATGAGCTACGCTTTTAAGGTTTACATGGAAAATAAAAACGCCGTTCGTTTCGTCCGCAAAGTTTAAGTGTATAAAAAAACTAAAATTCCAACTATGGAGCCGTGCTTAAAAAAAAAGAATCAACGACCTTATTGCTGTATTTGTGCTATTTTGATGTGACATCCTAAACGCGTGCATGGGAATGTTTTTTGATGTTTATATATAGAAAGTGTCCAATATTGACTGATGTCATTGTCTTTTCAAGTGTTTGTGTTCAATAAAAGGGTTATTCTGGGAACAAACACTTTTTTTTTATCCTGTGCCGTCATGTCACGACCCATTTACTCACAAAAATTATTAATTATAATAATAATTTTTGTTTTTTTGGTGTGTGGGTGTTTTTAAGATGACCTGCTAACGTCTTTGTTTGGATCAATTAAAAAGTAAATTCCGCATCGGAAAAAGTTTTAATTTTGTGAAGATTCAGTCATGAGACTACAAAAAATAAAACTTGCAGGGTAAAAAAAAAAAATTGTGGCTAAGTGACAAATCTAGGGTGCATCTCTTTCGAGGCCTTTCCTTGCTTAACTGCCTTGAAGAGTTTGAAATGCACCGAAACAGACATTCCCGCCAGTTCTGTTGCCGATGGTGTTTTTAAGCCCTTCAGCTTTCTGTCACTTTTTGTTTTTTTGCCGCTGGCTCTTCTGTCACTTTTTGTTTTTTTGGCGCTGGCTCCTCTGAGTTAGCCTGGCGCGAATGGTCTGTCTCCACGGTGATACCCGAGAGGAGGTAACCGCCACCGCCGCTCATCAACAGCATGGGATGCGTTCTGTTAGGCAACACCTAAGGGGACAAAACACAAGTCAGGACACATTAAGTAGACGACGAGGACCTGAGGGTAACACTCGGTGGGCAGGATGTAACCTGATAATGCCGCAGCCATGTGTCGGTGAGGCGCAGGTTGACCGTGCCGCCTTGCTCCTTCAGTTTGGTGAAGCACTCGACTAGCGGCTGCAGAGAAGACGGTAACATGGATGCAGTGATGCAAGCTGACAAAGTTCGCGTCATTTCTTTCACATACTGACAAAGTGGTCAACAAGACGCATTAACCCACACTACTTTATTTCACTCGGATGAGAGGATTTGAACAAAAAGAGCTTTCGCCCTGAGCTTCAGAAGCCACACATCCTGTTCTGCTTATTTTCTGTTCTTAACGACAAAACATTTTAATGCTGAATTGCTGAGACACTTGCTCCCATTTAATTTCCTTGAGGGATAAAGACGCATTTTCTTCGTGTATTTTCCTTTGGTGGGAAGCTCATTTCTCACAGGGCCCCTGCAGTAATAAAACCCGTCTTAAATAATAACCCTTGTTCGGCGGAATCGTTTGCGAAACTCGCACTGAGCTCACCTCCTTATACTGCGAGTAGACCACAAAGGGCCTGGAGGGTGACAAGAACCTGAGCAGGCACATCAGGACGGGACATGGGTGGAAGCGAGAGGCGATGACCAATCTGCAAGGACCGCAAAACAAGATGAGCCAAGCAAACAATCATTTACGCCGTCAATACATTATTGGAAATGTTGTCACTTCGCCTAATTTGAGAAACTTGTGATTTAGGACACAGGGGGAGCAGCGTAATGGCGTTTACGATATAGCCGCTATTATGAAGGAGAATCCATAAATGAACACCCTTGTGACGTTTCATCAATAATAAGGAGGCTGTGGGGCTTGAATTGCGCTCCACCAACTGGCAAAGTTAGAAAGGTCATAACACTGTTCTGATCTAGCTTTGTCCACACCATCCCACGGGACATTCCATTTTACCTTTCTGAAAATCCATTTCAATCATAATGTATCCTTGAAAAGTCACACGAACCCGTCTGCGTTCATGCCCTCTAACTGGGCCGCTGCCGCTGCGAGCTTCTTGCGCCTCTCCTCTTGCTTCGCGCGCTTGAGTTGAGCCTAAAACATTTCAAACACCATGATGACCATCCAGCACCCCGTCAATCATACCCGATCTTGTGCCATACCTTCGCATCTTTGCTTCGTTGGCGATCGTCGTCTGTGCCTGGTTCCCCGCTGGCGTTCGTCTCTACGTTCTCGGAGTCATCCGGGGTGTCCTCCATCTTGGGCTGCGCCTCAGCAGCCACGTCGGGGTGAGGTGCCTCTGAGAAGCCGTGAATCCACAGCATATTACACTTGTGAATGGAGAGAGCTTCCGCAATACTAGCACATGTCTGTATTTGCGGAAATTGTTGTGGATCTTCCTTTAAGACAGACTAAAAGTGGGATATGGCTTCAACAAAATCTAGGGGAACGTGTACCTTCACCAGTATCGGGGTCCTTCGGGCTTGTGTCCAACGTGCCTGCTAGCAAAGCATTCACGTGACAGATGGGAAAGTCATGCAGCGTGTCGTGGAAGTGAGCGGGAAAGCCAAAATTCTCCACTCCTGCCCGGACCGGCCCGCCCCCCGGGTACATTTGGATCACGGATCCATAGCCTGGACGGGAGGAACAGGAGATCAAAAGAGCGAGTTAGAAAATGAGAAAGCACTTATTGTACATTAAGGGGGAAAAAAAATGCAATTTCTGTAAAGAATTTTAGAGGCATAATACTTCAATGCTTTCAAGTTACCTGTTTTTCCAGCTGATGCCCTTCATACAACCGGATTAATATTTATTGTGTTGGTTGTGGCGTGCTTTGAAATGTTACTGAATGTTAAGTATGTGCCTCGGGATGAACAACAAACTCACCTCCCATTCTTTCCATGACGGCCCCCAGCACGAGGCCAGCGCACGTTTCAAACACCAACACTTTGCTGCCGGCGTGGACGTTGGCCAAGGTCAGCATCTGTGCCAATGTGTCATATCGCAAGTGACTGTACCACACACACGCACACGCATGTTATTCAAACCATTGTGCGTTTCTGCTGGACGGAGGCAAAAAATATATGTATATTACCAGATCTTTCCTGGCTCTCGTCCGTGGTACATAAGCGCCATGATGCGGCAAGTCGGTTTAAGTATGGTCACCGTGTTCTCATATCTGAAAAAAATATGAGATACCGCTCACATACATACAATGATTTTATTATTTTTAAATAAGTGCTGTGGCTCTGGCTCACTTCTTTTTTTTCTTCTTAATATACTTGTCCTGGGCGTATTCTGTCTTATCCCTGAAGGTGGAGCTGTTGTCTATGAGCTTCTGGATGATTTCCTGCAGCATAAACAAAACAACATATTGAAAGAGACTCTCAACCTGCTTGCTTCACTTTTATTACTGCTCAACAAAGCCAAACGGTCTCAAAAACAATGAGCCCATAAAACATGGACAAGGTGGATAAGGACTGGTGATAGACGTCCGCGATCTTCCCCACAGTGTCATGGTGCACGTCATGGGGGTTTCCATCATTACCTGACCCTTAAGGCCTTGCTCTTTGAGTGTCTCAATGTCATCCCGGGTCAGCTTCTGCGACTTGCCGTCGTCCATGATGTTTCGATTGTCCGTGCCCACCTCCTTCGTGTCTGTAGGAGAAAGTATAGCAGTGAAGCAGCGTGTGGCTCAGTGCGCAAGTTTTGCATTTTGTGCTCTCCAAGCTCTCCTTCTTCAGACAATTCTCGGCATTGCCAATGTCTACTTCACAATTTATGTCCTTTCCCGCACTGAAAAACAACAAAAAATACTTACCAGATGCAGCACTTGCCTCATCTTTTGGTTTCACAGGCTGCAGCTGTCCTCCAGATACAATTTCAAAAGTGGTGCTGTACAGGTCCCCCACGGCGTTGTCCAGGAAGAACCACTGCTTCTCAAACACCACCTTCCTGTTATCACAATAGAAGAAATAACGTTTTTTCACAACTTATGTCAGTCAAATGAGTTCCTTGTTAACGTAGACATGAGGTTACGCATTGGAAACCCCCAGATTGATAAACCACCACTAAAGTCCAGTTTGCCTTCGCACACAAGCTCGAAAATAACACTTGTTGCGTGATCTTGACACATGATCAAAACGGCACGAATTAAACGTTTCAGACTAACTTTTTCGACTGTATTTGCACAGCTTTGTAGATCTCGCCCCGCTTCAGCATAACGTAGTCTCCCTCGTTGATCTTATACGGAGAGTCGTCGTCTCCACCGTCCGCCATGATCGGTAAAATAGACAAATGACCGTTCAATATCGAGAACAGTTCGATCAACAACAGTCACGGTGGTTTATGAAATTATCGTTAAACTCGCGTTGCACGTGTTGTCTTCCACTTTCCGTCTCAGGGTGACGGGCAGACAACAGAATGGAGCTACTTCCGCGTTTTCATCATTGTTGGCGGTGATTGGCCCGAACCGACTCTAGCCAGCCAATAGCGTGCGATATTTTGTATGGCAGATGCCGATTTCAGAATCATCGATTTAAAATTAGTATTTCCAAAAATAATTACTGTAAATCGTATATTTCTCCATTGTGTCTTAATGGACGAAGATAAATTTGACCTGAACATTTGTTTTAAATTAATAAGTTAAAAATGTACAAATCAAGCCTGTTATACGCATTGTATGGAGCTGGATAAACACTGTAGTGGAGAGAGACAGTTAAAGACAATAAGGAAGTCACAAGGAGGTAGTAAAATCATAAAAAGGGATTTATTCTTACAAGGGTCAATTCATACAAAGTTTGAGACCAAAATTATTTACACAAACACTAGGCCTTGGCTTGACTGCAGATCAAAATGCTGAAAAAAGTGAAAAAGATAAATAATAACTAGACAATTCATGACATTATTGCTCTGTTGAGCTCTTTTGTGGATTACAAAACAATAGTATTTATCCTTGGCAGGGATTTACTGTGTTTCATCAATAAGAGTATCACTGTGTTGTTCGCTGGCCCCTTACTAAATTACAGCATTGTCTTTTCTCAATCTTGACCTCCGGTCAGTTTGTGGAACAGTTCTTCATCTAGGGTCTCATTCTGGTCCTTGGATCGCGTTGAAAGGAAGATGTAGCCGCCGATGAACTCGTGCACCACCTTACAATCGCAGCTCAGGCAGCAGAAAGCTATGGTCACGTTCTGGTCGAACTCAATGGTCACCTGCAATCACGCACACACGCACAGCAACGCATGGCTTCTTGAGACTTTTTTGTGGGCCCACTCATGAGAGACGCTACTATCAAATTTCATGCTGTTGAGTGAAACAGGGTTCGAGAGTAGAATTTTTCAGTAACTTTATTAGCGTTTGAGACAAAATCTCTGCAAGAAGTTCTTCTTCGAGGACTGTGAGAAATAGCTAAAAAAGATCTTAACGTGGTTGCTTCAAGCCAAAATAAAAGGCTCCCTGAGTCTTTCCCATTTTTTTGTTAAAACTCACTTGTCTTATTTCCCAATTGACGTTCCACTGCTTCATGTTGGCGAACCTCCACGTGGTGACGGGCAGGCAGGTGGACATGTCGAGACGAATCAGGCGATTGTACGAGATGCCGAGGATTTCGTCCTTCTTGCAGCCCCTGAACCTGATACAACAAAGTGGACTTCTTGAATGGTTTCTGATGAATGACACATTTTTTTTTTTTTTTGCCTTAAACACTACCTGACAATGTAGTAGTTGATGCCAAACTCTGGGAGAGACTGCCAAGCCTGGATGAAGCGCATCTTGGCATCCATGAGGGACAGGCGCGCTATGTTCTGATGGGCCTCCAGGATACGTGCTGTGAGCTTGACACAAGGACATTGAATGGCAACCAGTTTTATAAAACATGACTTCAAAATCAGCAAGCTCTTTTTGCCATCTATGCTTCCATCAACCTGCTTCGTCTTGTGCTTCTTGGCGTAGCGCGGCGAAACGAAACATTCGGCGTTCATGTCCATGGCATCCAAGTCGGGCGCCGCTTGGCCCGGAGGGGGCGCCAGGCTCTTCATCTGCAAGAAGGACTGGATGCTCCGCACCTCTGACTTATACGAGCTGTATGCCATGGTCTTGCCTTTGGAGGCCAGGATGCATGCCGCCTTCCACTTGGCGTACTGCGTCTCCTGCGGCACCACAAAAAGCACAGTTCAAAATACACTTTTTTAATCACTGTAGAAAAGGGAGGTGTGCAGTCTGGTCAATACAAGTAAGTTTAATTTGACACTATGTATACAGGTAATTTCAGCTTTACAGATATCACGTCTACTTGATATGCGCAGTATGCGGCAAAGGAGCTTACGTTATCACATCGGATGTACACCTCATTCATCCCATCCGCCACCGGCAAAAGGAGCTTGATGCCGAACTTCTTGTCTGTGACGTTGACGTCAGGGACGATCTCGCAGCCTGAGGATAATACGGTGACGCAAGTTCAAGATAATGTTCTCATATTTGTCAGGAATGAATCCTTGAAGTCACATAATACCTCGTAAGTGAAACTGCTCTATGGGTTCTCCCACGGCAGCTTCCTTGTTCTTGTAGTAGGAGATGGTGGTGTCCTTAAATACAAACCAGTACTCTTTGTAAGGCCGCAGTGTTAGTCTTTTTGGTCTGAGTTGAGAGAAAGTTGTTTTCACAGTCATTAATTTATTTTACACTCGTACTCAATCAGTCAAATCTCTTTGCTTTTCAATTGTATTGTTTAAACCATTGTTGACTTATTTTTGCACTTGTAAGACTGTTACAAATAAGTCCAATCTTTGATGTGTTTAAAAGATTTTTCCACTTCTTTTTAGACTTGGACCACATGTTCAGATTAAATGTCCTTTGTGTCATTTTACAGGGTTTAACTTTTTTTCCTATTTGTGTCATTTACGGCTAGCGGCGGATTCTTGACACTGGTAACAGAGTAAAGCCAATAGGAGGTAGGTTTTTACCTGAAAAGGCGCAGGTAATCTGCCAGCTCTGGAATGTCTGTAATGTCTTCCTGGAGGTTGGAACAAACAAGTGTCGATGATCATATATGCATACATGCAACCAACAGAGGCCCACCAGTAGGAACACCCAGCTGTTTTTTTTTTCTGTATAAGCCCCAAAAGATGACATGACAGTTCTGAAATACATTTACCAGAATTCTGTCTGAGACGCCACCTTCCAGCGTCACCTCTAGGTTGGAGAGGGCGGCTTCCACTTCATCAATTTCCTGCTCGTTGGAGTGGTCCACTGGATCAGTGGATAGGGTCAGTTTACAGATGTGATACTGTAAAGACAAGACGAAAGCTCAAGTCCATTCACTCACTTACAAAACAAAACTAACAGACAATATGTTTTCCGTTTTTGATGTGCGATGATGTCACGGTATCCTATTCACCTGTAGCGACGCAAACATGAGCATCTCCTCCTCGGTGCAGTCGATATCCTCGAGCAGGATGGACCAGCGAGCCTGCTCATAGAGCTGCGTTATCCTCACGGCGTCGTACTGAAACACAACATGTATCTATTTACCAGCTGGTGGCCTTTGGACCAGATCGACCCGTCCGGGTCATTTTTGTGTGGGATGCCAAATATATACAGTATACATTCAGAATGCTGAAAGGTTGTTTTTTTTCCCCCATTAGCCTTTAGCTCTTTTACTGAACCAATGTGAATGGAACGGTGACCTAAAAAAAAAAAAAAAAGTGTGTCGCAAGCAATGACTTGTCTCGTACTGTTGCAGATTGACGTGGCTTCATCGTAATCATCAGCCCCATAAACAATGATGTGGCCCTTACTTTGGGATTGAGGTCAAAGAAGACATTGTACTTGAAACGCAGCAGCAGCTTGTCGTTGTCTTGAACGTCCTGCTCCATTAGGGAGCGCGAAGAGTCCAGCCACCTGTCAATTACATGGCAAGTATGAATCAAAATGAATAGTAGCAGAGGAAAGACCATATGCAGCAACACAATGAAGTCTTCTACCCGGCGTTTCTGATGGCTTTGTCCTCCAGGGATAAAGGCTGGTAGAGCTTGGCCAGCTCGTCAGGTGGCAAGTTGGGCTGGCAGTCGGCGAGGGGGTTCTCCCCAAACCACAGGCTGGTGGCCGACACCGGCATCCCGTTCTCTGGGTCGTAGGTGGCCGTCATGGTCTTGCTGTACATTGGACCTTGTGGGTTAGAATGAATGATTAGGGGTATTGGGCTTAGGGTTGGGACATTAAGATTAGGAGAGTAGGGTACCAGGTTTGGTGGTGACAGCTATAGTGTCAGGATTTCAGATTAGGGCAGTGACATTTGCTAAAAGGGTTTTTTTGCCTTTACCTGAGCCCCCTGGCCCACCGCTGACTAAATCAATGTCCCAGATATCCTCCAGCGGAGAGTTTTTCCCTCTTTTTTTCTTCTTCTTGGATGGATCATCCGGAGGCTGGAGCAAGGACAGTTCCTCAGACCGCCGGATGTCTGACAAGAAGAAGAAGAAGGAGCAGCGGCCAATTTAAAACGAATCAAGTTACATTTGAAAAGAAAGGAGGGGGGTAGGGGGGGGACACACTCACTGAGGATTTGACAGATCTCTGCCACGGCCTTGAAGACCACGCAGGAGAAGCCGACGGTCATTTGAATGGTTTTCATATTGGGGAGCTGCAAGAGTATGCTTTTGTGTTGGGGCGTGTAGCGCAGGTCTGCATCAGCCTGTGTGGTAGGACAAACTTCAAACTTTGAAACCCACGTCTCATTGAATGCATCCGACCAACCATGAGACACGAGTGAGTGTGTACCGGAGAGAAATTGTATCGAATAGGAGACTGAGTACAGCAAGAAAGGTGGACATTGCTTAATCAATGTCAAATAATTGCACATTAGACAAGCACACATTGCAATTTTTTTTTGGAATTGATTTTGTCGCTGACAAACGTTTAGGCGTGGAGTCTACCTTTGAAGTTATTATCGCATTAAGTAAAAAGAAAATGCATTGTGGCTTGCACAGTACTTACAATTTTCTCCTATTTTCCCCACCTGAATTCCATACTTGTCCAAGGTCCAGTGGGTCTTGAGCAGCCAGCAGTTCCGTTGCTCCCACCACAGGGCATGATCCGACCAATCCTGGGGAGCCTCTGCATATGAAAACATCACGCAATATAAGATATAAAAACCCTGTCAAGTGGATCGAGAGACTTGTTTCTAAATACATTATAAATGTATTCATGGTACGCCAGTGCCTCACTCTTCCAAGTCTTCCCTATGAGCGCGTCCATGTTGACAAGGCCGTCTGTGATCAGGTTAAATCTCAACTGAACTTTGTGCCCTGGGGCAACATGAGCCATTGTGGTTAACAACAATGGCACTCGAGTGTGGAGCAATGCGAGGCAAACAAAGGTGCGGCCTGGCAAACAACACTTAAGTGTTTAAGGGCAGATGGTGTTCAAGAGCTGCGACATCTGACACCTACTGATCTTCTCCACCAGCTTCAGCATGAGACCGCCGATGTGCAGGTCGCCCTTCACGCGCAGCTTGAAGCGCATTGACTCATCGCCGTCTTTTTGGTCCACGTGTACCTGCAACTCCCATGACGTCTCCCCATACTCTGCTGCAGTGATCATTACTCTGCAAAAACATGTATAAAATCAAAGAATTATACATATGAAAAATGACAATACAATGTGCATGATGCACAAATATTCATATGAAACAAAATAAAACATGGCTGGATACCAAATGAAATTGAAATATGGTGTGACGCAAAAAGTAAATTGATATACCGGTATAGATAGCAGAATGGAATGAAATAAAATGAAAGTAAATATGGCGAGTTGTAATAACTTCACATAGCCGACTAGGATTAAATGCCTGCTTGGGGGAACTAGACTAAACTATGCTGTTTTGGTTCTTTGGAAATATTGGGCAACAGCTGGGACAAAAGACGCAGAAGATGTTTCTCAACTTCCTATGACAGCATCATGATTAATTTGGCTGCCAGTCCGTAAACATTAAAACAATGACGCCACAATGAACAGGAAAAAGAATTATGATTCTTATTATTATCAAAATAGCCTCATTTTTGTCCTTTTAGTGTCACTGTAACCACAATTCTGCAGGCCCTGCAACTGTCCATCTAATATTATAAGTGTGGGATAAAAGGCTTGGAGGGGGAGGCAGGTAATGAGGGGAGACAAAAAGAGGAGGAGGAAGAGGAGGATCAGGGAGGGTTCCGCTGTGGAATGCATGACGAGCAGGGACATGACTGTGCTGCACTGGGCACCAATCTGCAGCTTGGAAGTAAGGAAAATGCTGGAAATTCCATCACGCTCTCAGAATAGTTTCATATTTCAATTTAGATTGATCTGTCCCGACAACCATGAGGCAAATTAGTAAAATGAATGTACAGTAGGTTGAATTGTGAGCTTGTATCTCCATTGATCATAATGTTAAGATCTTATTTTATTTACATATATAAAAAAATGAATTCCAAAAAGCGCACAGAAGGCATATCCCTATCCGAACAGGGTTAATTATTCTAATTCCTCAAACAGTGATGGAATTGCATACAAAGTAAGGGCATGTTAAAGGACATGTGTCAATTGTTTTTTTTAAGCTTTGATTTACACAAAGAGGTCAAAAGTTCCAGACAACTCAAGTAGAAGAATAAGCAAAAGCACTATGACGCTGACAATAACAGTCTTTTCTTACTGTTGTGAAAAACACACCCCAGTAAATTAATCATTAACTTACATACTCACGCAGGACCAAAAACGAGTTAGACGCAATATAATCACTTTTTCCTAATTGAAACGCTTCTTTAACAGGACACAGAGTTTAAAAGCCTTACCTGGATTTGGGTATTTCAGGCGCTCCCGGTGGAGTTCTCGTGAGAAGTGGTGGAGGGAGGAACTGGAGCTCGTTTCAGACGGAAGCTGCGCCCCTTTCTCGCCAGGTGAGTGACGTATGCGGAAGTGGTCGGCTGTGTCATCTCTGCTCGTCCGCAGGATGAAACAAAGTGGTACCTGTTTTGCCGTTTTTTGGGTTCAAAACGCAGACCTAACTCTTTTAGGGGTGAAAAACTTACTGAAAGGTAGCGCGGGTGGTTACGTTCAATTAGCACGTGAACTAATTTCCCTTCGAATTTCTGGAGAGGAAAATGTCTGCAGTGAAGATACAAAGTGTTCTCCTCTTTCCTTTTTGGATTCCCGCAATTAGTGCTGCTACCTTTAATACTGAAGGTCCGAAGCACGCTTCAAACTCGATAGCCGATTTATAGTGAAGCAGTGAGCCGGAGCTTGGTTCGGGTGACGTCACTGGTCACTGTTATCATGCATCATATTTGAAGCTCCCACATTGCTAAATTATTAGGACAAGTAAAAATTTTGTCATATTTAAGAGGAGCCGTTCTTACTGACGGAATGGCAAATACATAGAAAGTAAAATGATGTCCGCTATGATGTAACGTTTTGTCATTTTGTCTACAGGCCCTTCGACTGTGCAAAACTTACTGTCCCCCAATTAGAACACCTGAGTTGCATCAGCATTCAGTTCACCAAACACAATGTCAAGTCTAAACACTGAGTACGCCAAGCACAATCCCCCAAAAGATATGAATGACAAACAAAATGTCAAGTCTTTTTATTTATTTTTAAAATTGTGTATATATTGTTGCTTCAAGGATCTAATATATACGTTGGGTTTCAAATTACAAATTCATAAAACACCACTGACATTGCCAAGTCACTTGACAAATTTCCACATTAAAATTGCTATGTTGGGTTTTAATTATACACAAGAAGCACATCGCATTTTTCTTTTGAATGAATCCAAATTGTCTCTACTGTGCAGAAAGGATGAAGTGTAAAAGCAAATACACTAAATGATTTCCTTTATTCAGTATTCATCCTATTACGGGTTTTCAAAATGACATACCTGTTGCTGCCACACGATGGCGCCAGTTCATCGTGTTAAAGTTGATCCCATGCCCAGTAGTTGGGGGACTTGAGGAACAGTATTAAGTTCTGTTGTCCTGAAAGGAAGAAAACAGGGGCTTACGTTTGCTTCTTAGTGTAACACCACCCTGGTTTTAGAGGCTTTAGGTAGCTGAGCATATCCATTCAAAGTGTACAATCCCAGGAGGATTATTAAGCATTTATGTGGGGGGGCAAACCTTTGTGTCTTGGCTAAGGAAGAACTGGCAGTCCAAGCTGAACATCTCCTGTTAAGTGCAGTGTGAAAAGGCCAATACTTCTCAAGCACCACCTTGCTGCAACTGCCTGTTTCCTTGCTATCCTCAGCCTCTTCTCTACCTCCTTAGCTACAGTACCCAGCTGACTTGCCTCATATCTGGACGCTGCAGTATTAGACGCGACAGCTTCCGCTCTCCTGCAGCAACTACATTTTTCTCTCAGATAACTCTCCTTCACTTACACCTTTTGTGACACTTTAGCGCTGGATTCTGGCTTATTATACATCAGTTTCTGCTTTGCCAATTTTCTTTCTGCCCTTTGTCTCCTCTTGGATAAAATTTGCTCCTCAGTGAATACAGGAGACTCTTGTTTGGATGCATTCAGTGTGACAGTGCTTTCACACCAACTGTATCTGTAACTACTCGGTTGTTGGTATTTTGTAGTATAAAAACCGATTGGCCCATGATACTCCACAGTCTCCACATAGCTGCAGCACTCCACACCCAAAACAAACATGCTGATTGTGTCATGTTGGTACATGAGATCATTGCGGTGGGCTCGTGTGAGAGGAAATGTAAATTGTAGAGAGGGGAACAAAAAAACAAACTCCTTAGCTTTGGAAAGTATGGAAAATAACCAGTCACACTGAGTCCATATCCCCGAGACACCTGCAGTGAGTGGCAGAAAAGGATGAATATTGATGATAAAGTGTGCTTTTTGAGGCAAAATAAATTAAATGGAAGGCGGGCGGGAAACAACATCTGTGGGGGCCTTCTTTTGCCGACTTTCCGTATTTACGGAAAGGGAAAACCTCCCGGTGACCTGGGAACACGCTTACCCAATTAGCAGCCTCGCCTATGGATCAAATGGAAGTGAAAACATTCGCTGCCGTGACGGAGACGCATCACAATGACCCATTCATGCTGCCGAGGCTCGTGACAGCTTCCGCTCTCCTGCAGCAACTACATTTTTCTCTCAGATAACTCTCCTTCACTTACACCTTTTGTGACGCTTTAGCGCTGGATTCTGGCTTATTATACATCAGTTTCTGCTTTGCCAATTTTCTTTCTGCCCTTTGTCTCCTCTTGGATAAAATTTGCTCCTCAGTGAATACAGGAGACTCTTGTTTGGATGCATTCAGTGTGACAGTGCTTTCACACCAACTGTATCTGTAACTACTCGGTTGTTGGTATTTTGTAGTATAAAAACCGATTGGCCCATGATACTCCACAGTCTCCACATAGCTGCAGCACTCCACACCCAAAACAAACATGCTGATTGTGTCATGTTGGTACATGAGATCATTGCGGTGGGCTCGTGTGAGAGGAAATGTAAATTGTAAAGAGGGGAACAAAAAAACAAACTCCTTAGCTTTGGAAAGTATGGAAAATAACCAGTCACACTGAGTCCATATCCCCGAGACACCTGCAGTGAGTGGCAGAAAAGGATGAATATTGATGATAAAGTGTGCTTTTTGAGGCAAAATAAATTAAATGGAAGGCGGGCGGGAAACAACATCTGTGGGGGCCTTCTTTTGCCGACTTTCCGTATTTACGGAAAGGGAAAACCTCCCGGTGACCTGGGAACACGCTTACCCAATTAGCAGCCTCGCCTATGGATCAAATGGAAGTGAAAACATTCGCTGCCGTGACGGAGACGCATCACAATGACCCATTCATGCTGCCGAGGCTCGTGCTTTGGGGAAGATTTGGGGTGGGGGGGGGGGGGGGGGGGGGGGGGGGGGGGGGTTTCTTCCAGAGACTTAGTGGGGCGGTGGGGATAGACATGAGGGAGTCATGAATGCAACAAGGAACTACCTCACCGCTAGCTTTGATGGCTCAACGGAGGCCTAATTCATGACTCAATATGGGTGCGGAGGTAAACACTGTTCAAAAGTGTTGTTTTCATAATGTTACCAAGTTGCCGCCATCCGCCCCCAACCCCTTGGACGCTCTCACCTCTGCAGCCTGGTGAGACCGCTGGACCTGTTCCTGTGGGAATAGTGCAGAAAGGGGGACGGGGGCATTTCAGGAGGCCTGAGAAGTAGCAGGGAAAGAGAAACTCTTGACAGCACCCAACTCTGGGGACTGGAACGGGGGCGCTGCCCTATGGCCCCGCCGAGTGTTAAAACTCAGATTCATTGCCCTCCTGAAAATACATTTCCAGTCTCGGCTTCTTAATTTATTTTTTCGGAAGCCTTCGACCTCTTCGGAGGTCATGAAATCCCTTGCCACGCAACATAACATGCGCATTCGCTTATTTGGTTTGCGAGTAAGTTTAGAAACGTCCCCTTAAAATGAACTAATTGATGAATATGTCACAATGTCTTCACATGGGCTGTGTTTGCGCTGCGACCAGAAACTCTGAATAAAAGCTTCCTCTATTTCCAGATTAATTGTTTATTTATGAGTGTGGAGCCACAGGCGCTTCTATTGACGGAATCGTTTCGAGGTTTCCGTTGAGCCTTATAAATGTGTTAGCTCCACGCTATAGGAAATCCAAATGTATGAAAACTTCTCAGACAGCAAAGTGCTGTTGCTGTGCTTTATTTCTGGAGGTTGCAGGACTGATCTCCTCTTTGATGCATCAGTCCAACGAGTAGGGCCTCAAACCCCCACCCTAAACCAGGGAGAGGAAAGCTAAAATGGAAATAAAATAAACGCATAGTCATGCTAGCTTACTCTGTGGCTGCACATTAGCTTTCACTGATGTCCTCCATACTCTCCATTTTGCTGCTGTAGTCCATTTTCTTGCTGCCCTCAGTCTCCTCCTGGATGAAATTTGTTGAAAAGTAAATGCATGTGACCATATTTTGGATGCATTCAGCGGGGCAGCATTTTTTTTGCAGTTTCATATGGCTTGTTCTCTCTTTTTTTTTTCCTTTTTTGAGCAGTGGAGAAGTTGCAAAATGCGGGGTGGCCTTCTGCTTCTGTCAAGGGAGAAACAAAAGCTAGCGGAATGGGGGGTGCGAGGATGATGGGAATTACATCACTGTAAGCCACGGCCGCCACCCCTGATATCCGATGTTTCTGCACAGCGCTCTCCGCATGGAAACATCTGATGGAAATAAAAGTTTTCACGGTGCCTGCTCGGGCTGTCGTAAATACCGCCTGTCAGCGGTGTATAAGGCAGTACTGGAGACAGGGTTTATGGCAGGGGACGTAATACGGTGCCTCTTTGGGAAATGTGGCTACCGTAAACTGCCAGTATCGCTTTACCTGTCTCTGGCAGCTCCTTGTCATTCTTCAGTTCTGACTAAAAAGTAATAGATGGTGATCATCCACCTCAGACGTGTTCTTGGCTGACTGCAAGACGCAAATTGTGCGTAATAACCTTCAAATTTTCTCTTTCGTCGTCACTCTCACGGCATGAGGGGAAAGTTTGATGCTGTTTTTTTTTTTTTTTGTCCCTGTGTGAATGTCAGGTGTGCTGAATGAAGCCATATGCGCTTCTGTGACTTTTATTAGCTTTGTCAAAGCCCTCAGAGACTAGAGAAGGAAACCCTGCGCATACAATGGCTTTAAAATACCACCTTTTCCTCTGCAGGGCCTGGATTTCAGAGGCAATGATGTGGAAGCGATTTGATGCCGCGCCGCCGCATGCTGTGCTGCGGACGAAGCTCCCAACCCCCCCCTTACAACTCGGAGATGCTGTGACCGATCTTGCAGGTAGAGTGTAAGAGGAAGTGGGGGCCTCGCGCTGCTTCCCGCCACACGTCCACTTTTCCGACCGGCCATGAATGGGTGCCATTTTGAATCAT